TGTAATAACCGACAAAGTATTTGTTCACTGATTGATGAACATAATTGAATCAACAATATGCACACCATATTTTTGAGTACAGCAATGATTCACTCATTTTATTATATAAATATATCAAACTACACACGATTGAATAATATTACAGCAAAAAACCAGCGTTGAATGTAATGAAACGCCATTTTCTGGGTGAGCCCCGGAGGCTCCCTGGAGCTTATCGGGCTAATGTATGTTATGTTAGACCGGGACATTAGCTAAGGAGTTCAGACCTACCAGGGACCAGCGTCAGAACCTGGCCCCTTCAGAGAGGTTTCAGGGAGCAATGGCCCTGGAAAACCCCATATGGTTGGGGTTTTCCTTATCTGCCATCGACCGGGGTTAGGCACCCAGAAAGGTAGGCGTAACAAAACAAACCCCACATGGTAAGACACTACAACAAAAACCGAACAGAGAGGTAGAAAACTCCCTACAATCCCAAGGAAACTAGCAAACAAGCAAACATCACACTTTACTGCCGCGCCGATCGTCCGCGCAGCCCTCCCCGCCCCGGGAGGGGAAGGGGGGAACCCCGGACCTACAGCGCCGGCTGCCAAGCTCCAGTTCGGAAGCTAAGCTTCAACCAACGCGAAAAAACCGCCGACCGGTGGGAGGGAGGGTTTCCAGGGAGCCCCCGGGGCTCACCCAGAAAATGGTGTTTCATTACATTCAACACTGGTTTTCTGTGGGGAGCCCCTACGGCTCCCTGGAGCTTCATACCCAAAGAGAAGGAAAAGAAAGGGCTAACCCGGGAGGCGGCCGCCACAAACTCTGCAACGCAAAGCCAAGACAACCAGTCGCAAACCTGCGACCCAAGGCAACAAGAACGCCCAAGAACAGACGCACATATGGATGGGCGGCCAAAAACCTGTGCGACCCACAAATCCCTGCGCCCGAAATGAGCCCGAGACGTCACCAACACAGCAGCAAAAGCCGCAAACGTCTGAACAGCACTGGCGCAAAGACAGACCGCAGGCTGGAAGAATGAAAACTCTGCGGACGACCTGGGAGACCCGAGCCCTGAAAACAGGGAACGAAGGAACCGGATCAACCACAGCGCATCCCCAGACACGGTACGCCGGCAACAGCAAAAAGCACAACCAGACAACACAGGACGCACCCCCCCGGCCAAACCAATCAAGTACCAATACCCCAAGAACCCCACCACCAACCGTGCTAGCCCCAGAAAAACTGGAGAGGAACGTGCCAAGAAGTGACCTGGAGGTGCAGGGCCACCATCCATGCACCCGGCCCTAACAGAATCCGAACAAGAAACAACAGTCCTCCGAGGAGGGCAGAGGATCCAGGGCGCAGACTGAAGAAGTCCAGAAGAACTGCAGACGGGAAAAGCCCACGAAGAGGAAATGACGAAGCGCAGGGGAAGAAGCTCACCCCGCCAGCTCTGAACCCCCCAAGGGGGAGAAGCCGTCCTCCGACGCCAGCAGAGGCCGGAAGACAACCCAAAGCGCCCACCAACAGCGGGACCAAGCGAGAGGCAACAGAGCAAGCTGCTTCCCCAGCGCCCAGTCAACAGAGAAGGGAACAGAACCCCTTCCGAAAGAAAAAGTACACTACCTAAGTCATGAGGAAAGACTACGGGAATTAAACCACACTTCGCTGGAAGATGAAGTGAGGGGAGACCTGATCACCACATTCAAGATACCCAAGGGAATCGACAGGGTTGATAAGGACAGGCTATGTAACACAAGGGGCACACGCACTAGGGGACACAGGTGGAAACTGAGTACCCAAAAGAGCCACAGATAGATTTTTTTTTTTTTTTTTTTTTTTAAGTGTCAGAATGGTAACAGGAAAGCACTAGGAAGTAATGTGGGGACTCCACACACAAGTAACGAGGCTGACCCCATACAATGTCACATGGAGACATGACAGAGCCCAAGAGGCCAAGGAACCTATACACCTGTTGATAGACGGTTGAGAGGCGGGACCAAAGAGCCAGAGCTCAACCCCCGCAAGCACAACTAGGTGAGGACATATATTGTAAAAGTACAAGTCGCCGACTAGTGGGCAGAGAGCACTACGCCGGCCAGGCAAAGAAGGCACAAAACTGCATCAAAAGGCCCACCTCGACAGCAAAACCGCAAAGTCCCAGCACAACCACAACATGTGCCAAGACCCAAAAAGATCAGTCTGCAAGCCAGGAAGACCCCGGAACCCCAAAAGGCAGAACCGGGTCACACGAGGAAACAAAGTCCCCTGAACCCACAAAAGGGAGCCCCAAGAGGAAGAAACCTCCAGAACGAAACCAAGGAACCCAAAGGAACCCAGAATCGAACCAGGGGGAGCCCAAACCACCACATTTGCCGGCGGAGAAAACCACTGAAAGGCAAAGCACAGCCCCCAGCAGAACCCCCTGGGAAAACGGTCCCAACAGACCGAAAACCGAAGGACAAGGTGTGGGAGCAAGCATACCCGCCAGGGGCACTGAGCCTAAACCCATAGGCTCAGACCCAAAATCAATACCCAAACGTTCCCAGAGGAACAGGCAACGGCAAGAAAACACCAGAAAAACAAAGAAACGAAAACAGGAGAACAAAAACCCTGAAAAAAAATTGAAAACTCACCCGAGACGCTCGCTCGCACACCCAGACGCATGTAAACAAACCGCAACGCCGCCCTGGTGGCCACGCCGGGAAACAGGCAGACGAAAATGGCCGCCAGCAGGGGCTGTGACTGACGCTAAATACACAAAAACACGCCAGCAAATGTGGGAAGCTAGCAGACTGGATGGGCGAAAAACGTCGCCCAACAGCAGAAAAACCCCGGCAGGGGCAAAACCGCCCCAGAACTGCTAGCAGGCAACCCCCACAGCCCCTTGAACCAACAACAGAGGCCCCGGGGCAGAGCCGTCCTCCAAGCCCTCCGCCCTTAAAGAAAAGCAAGAGTCCATGGGAAAGGCAACAAGAAAGGGCCGCTGGTAAGACCCAGAAGCCTTGGCAGGAGGCACAGGCTCAAACCTCCGTCCCCAACCCGAACAGGGCAGCCCCCGAAAACCGCCCGAGTCTCTGCCGCAACTAAACCCCGCCCCGACCCCGAAACCCGTAGACGGTCCGGAGCCGGGAACATGGAGAGAAAGGGGCGAGCAGCACCTAACCAAACGGGGCGGCCACGGGGCATTCGAGTGGGAAACCAACCTAGCATGTTGCAGCAACCTAACCTAGCTTGCAACACGGATGCCGCCTGTACTCTGAACAGTAATAACATCAGGAGAGTACTGGAGAACAAGCAGAGAATCTCTCGCAAGACTCCGGGTCAAGGTGTCAGTGACCCAACAGGCAGCATGATGGAGGTAAAAATGGCGACTGTCACCCGGAGACAAGGGAACAGCAACCAACGATCCCGTACAAGACGGGTTGGAACCCGGAAGACACATTCAATGGTACCCCGAGCCCAGACAGGGGTTTCCAGGGCCCGTAGGGTAATAACTACGGGAAGCCCGGGCAAGGTGTTGCTAACCGGTTAAGAAACCCAAACATAACAAGAGGGTAGATTATAGCACTGAAAACCCCTGAGACGTGTACAATCACGGGGGCCTAGCAGAGGGCCGCCAAACACTACCAGTGGAGCTATAACCACCTTAGGCACACCCCTACCAGGCATGAAAAATTAAAAACAAAAGAAAAACCCCGCAAAAGTACACCGTCTCCAGAGGCAACAGAAACCGGCCGCCGCTTAGGTGGCAGGCTGCGCAACACCTTGACGCCCTAACCAGCACAATACCAATCCCTACCCAGGGCCAAACAAGGGCCCCAAGCCCCAGCTGGCCCCAAGGGCGAGGCAAATGCCGAGCAACAAGAACCTCTACGGGAATGGTTCCCGAACGCCCCAGGGAAGATAACCCTGTAACGCAAGGGCAGTACTCACAGGGCGCTTAGGGAAGTCAGCCACTAAGCACATGCAGCCCCGGCACTGATGAAGTACTCCTGGCCACCGCACACCACAACACACGGCAGTGAACGCCACACAAGGCAAACACCGCCTAGGAAACTGAGGGCAGAGAAGCGTCAATCCCGGTTGACATTAGCGAACGAACTGGAGCTTGGCAGCCGGCGCGGTAGGTCCGGGGCTCCCCCTCCCCCTCCTGGGGCGGGGAGGGCTGCGCGGACGATCGGCGCGGCAGTAAAGTGTGATGTTTGCTTGTTTGCTAGTTTCCTTGGGATTGTAGGGAGTTTTCTACCTCTCTGCTCGGTTTTTGTTGTAGTTTCTTACCATGTGGGGTTTGTTTTGTTACGCCTACCTTTCTGGGTGCCTAACCCCGGTCGATGGCAGATAAGGAAAACCCCCAACCATATGGGGTTTTCCAGGGCCATTGCTCCCTGAAACCTCTCTGAAGGGGCCAGGTTCTGGCGCTGGTCCCTGGTAGGTCTGAACTCCTTAGCTAATGTCCCGGTCTAACATAACATACATTAGCCCGATAAGCTCCAGGGAGCCGTAGGGGCTCCCCACAGAAAAACTATGAAAAATCAGTCAGAGACATTGAAATAATTAGGTAATTATCTCTTTGTGGCAACTCCGGCCTGACAGCTGGCGAGCAACAGACCGTCTGGGACGCATGCTGAGTCAGCGCCTGTTTTTTGCCACACTTCCCCGCCCTATAGTGGGCAATATATGCCACTTACGATTTTTTATTATTTTTCCCGTGATCAGTGAACACAAATTAACAGGTTAGGAAGAAAAAATATATATTTTTTTTTTTTTTTCAAAATTACATGCGCCTGTGGAGAAGAAAGGATATTATACCCCTAGCATGTGTTAAGGGTGAAGGAACAGTTGGCACCATTACATGCTGTCACTTCAACAATTTAAATGTCTTGTAAGACCTAATGTATAACAATACTGTACATATAAAACTCTCAATTCAAGGAAAACTAAATCTAATGATGAAACAGTAGAATATATATAAGTTTTACTATATTTCTTAACAACCAAAATATAAAATTCTTCACCTGTTAGTTAACAGTCCATGAGTAATGTTGAAGACTGAATGAGGCTGATCTAAACTTAAATAGCACTCCAACAATCGTTTGTAGACATCCTCAGTTCCCCGAGATACACACAGACGCTCATAACATCCTAGAGCATCCTGCAAGCGACCTGGAAAAATGGGTAAATATAAATCCCTCTGTAAAATTATTCTTAATTTAAATGTTATATTTATTACGTGACAGACACAATTTTCCTGGAGGAGCCCTTTGTGGCTCCCTGAAGCTTTCTAGCTAAGATTTCTCCCATATATTAGTTTAGATCAGTTGCTGAGTACTAATTGCCTAATTGGGGATCAGTGCCAGAACTTGGCTGCCTCAGAGAGGCACAGAGCAAGTCACTTTGCTGACTTGTGACTTTACCAAGTGACACTGACAAGAAAGCATCTAAAAAGTCAATGCACCAATACAGACCACTGCTGGGTTCAAAAGAACTGAAGGCTCATAAATTACCAAATGCCTCAAGCCTCAACTGAAGCCTCAAAAATCCCCTAATGCCAGCATTGCACCAATTTTTATAGCCAACATTTTCTCAGTGGGCAGGACAAAATAAAAAGTACCATAAAACTTTTCCCTGATCAAGGAAGAAGAACCAGCATTGAATGTAATGAAATGCCAGATTCTGGGTGAGCCCTGGACGCTACCTGAAGCCATTACACCGATCAAGTGTGATGCTACTAAGTGTCATCAGTTGCAGACTTCTAATGGCCTACCGGGGACCCCGAGTCAGAATCTGGCCACCTCTAGAGAGGCGCAGGGAATGATGGCATATGAACACTCTACATTTAAAGTTTATCATCTTTGCCACCTTCCAAGGAAAGGCACCCAGAAAGATAGGCAAATCATAATAGATTACTGCATGATTAAATACGAGATTGAAGCTCCAAAATTACCAAAAGAACTCCCCCTCAATGAAAATAGAAAACGGAAATTTAGTGAAACTAGCCCCACGCTAGTTTGACCCACCTGGAGGGGAGGAGGAAGCCGGCCCAGGTCAACTGGGCCAACCACCATTCAGTTCAATAATGATAAAACATGCCAACTACCTGGAACGAGGAAGGGTATCAGGGAGCCTCCAGGTTTCACCCAGATAGTGGCGTTTTATTACATTCAATGCTGGTTTTCTGAGGGGCTCCCTGTCAGCTCCCTGAAACTAACTACCTCTCAGAGGACAAAAAGGGGCACTCACCAGAAAGGTGGCATTACCACAGGCATCAAGTTGAAGGCGAGACCAACAGCTGCGACACACGACCCAAAGCTACACAAAGTGGCATAGGACCAGGAGCTTTAACCCTTAAACTGCCCAATGCATATATAGCTGGGGTGAGTAACCACCGCAGAAGTGCACACGACAGCTATGTATGGTTGAGAGTACATGCAAGATTTAACACTTTCGCTCGGGGATGACGCAGCATTGCGTCATCCGTTTACTGGCGGTAATGCCGGGGATGACGCAGCATTGCGTCATCCACTTTAAAAATTCGCCAAAAATCAGGTTTGTATCCGATTTTTTGGGGACTGGTTTTAAAATGTGCGCCGATGTCTTCCCATTTCCTTTGTTGAGCCTCGTGGCCCTCAGGCGGCTTGGCACACGCTGTGGGCCCATTGTCTTTGCTCCACTGTTGTTACCAATGTCGTCTCCCCTCGCATCTCAAACGTGTGAACATTTCGGCTATTTTCCGTGGCTATATTTCTTACTGCGGCTTTAGAAACTATCTACGCTTACTCCACGATGGATAGTAATCATGAACAAGGCCCTTCCAGGAAGAAAATTGCGAAAGAAAGGCTTGAAAAGGGTGGGAATTGGGAGTGTAGTAGGAAGGCCTCTGAGCGCTCACTCACGGCTAACGCGTGGCCCGTCTTCAACTCGTCGGCGGTTGGAGCGTGACCAGGTGTTTTTTTTTATATGCTAATGTTCCTCTAGAGAATTTTATTACGAACCCATTGAGACCAAAATGAAAGACCTAGGACAAAAATTGAGGTGACCAGAGTGAAAATAGTGAAAACATTTTATCCCGTTTGCGCGCTCCCGGGTAACTCGTTCGCACTTTCTCTGTTTGCTGCGGGTAATTAGCCGGGCTTTTGGAGTTTATATGCATTTAGTGCTGTAGAGAATTTTATTGCGAACACAATGATACCAAATTTATTCTCGTAGAAGGAGAATTGAGGTGACAAAGTTGAAGAGAGTATACACTTTTCGGAATTAACGCGCGCTTCCGTGACACGCTGGGGCCCATATCGCCCTGTCGAGGGGTGGCGCGCGGGGTGAGCGAAAGTGTTAAAAGTCCCATGGCTATACAGGGTTCACATCAGCTCCCTCAGGGTTCTTGTAAACAGACGCCATTTAAAAAAAAAATCAGGCAACATTCCCGGATGTGAGAGCCTCAGTACTGAGTGAGCAACCAAGGCTGGTGTACGCAGCATGAACTAACAGCACTGCTGTTCAGCTTGTGACCACAGTATCGCCTAAAAATGTTAAAATATATATGTAACTGCTATTATTTAGTGATGATGGTATTACAGAAGGATCCCTGACTGTGATAAGAAACCAGCATTGAATGTAATGAAACACCATTTTCTAGGTGAGACCCGGAGGTTCCCCAGAGCTATCCAGGCAGATATGCATATTATTGGTCTTTGGCATCAGTGTGAATGGGGTTCTAGGCCTACCAGGGACCACGAGCCAAAACCTGGCCCCACTCAGAGAGGCATGGGAAGCAATACCTTATATAATTGCACATGTGATTTGGAGCATTCAATGTTTGCCATCAACCGGGCCAGGTACCCAGAAAGGTAAACACCTCAAAACAAACCCTTATTCTGGCTAAAACAACAAAAGAAGACTAACGAGTGGACAGAACTCCCCAATTGAAAACAAGCAAATGAGCATAACATCACATGAGCTATGCTGCATGTCTGCGCAGCTCCCCCCTCCCCTGGGAGTGGGAAGGGGGAGCCCCAGACCCACCGCACCGGCGATTCACCCTACAATTCGAGGCTGGATGTCAAAACACAGCAAAAAAACGTAGACCGAGGGAAGGGAGGGTTACCGGGAAGTCTCAGAGTCTCACCCAGAAAATGGCTTTTCATTACATTCAACACTGGTTTTCTGGGGGGAGCCCCTTTGGCTCCCCAGAGCTAACTACCCAAAGCCAGGGACAAAAGAGGGACAAACCCGAGAGGAGGAAACAACATGCCCAAACCCGAAAGCAAAACAACTGGCAACACCAGACGACCTGGGAGACGTGAACCCTGAAACAGGGACGAAGGGAACCCCAGGCCAACCCAAAGCGCGTCCAGGGCCACAGAGGCCGTGGCACAAAGGCAACCGCAGAGCCAGAACCGGACACAAGATGCACCCCCAGCCAACCAACCAAGCATCAACCACCCCAGGGACCCCACCAGAAAACAGCAATCCTAACATCGCCAGAAAAGAAGAGACGGACGCAAACGAACGAACCGATCACCAGAACCCAAAGGAGCAGAACCACTGAGAAACAAACCTGAACCGAAGGGGCTACAACAAACCGAGGGGGAGAGAGAAAAGAGCCCCCCCTGTACAAGACCAGGATGGCTCAGGCGGCGAGGGGCTGGCCTGAAATGAAACAACGCCCAAGACAGCCCGCGAAACGGTGCAGAAACATCAAAACCGAAAGCAATCCGTAACAGCTCCACCAGCACAGCACAAGACAAGGCGACAGTATGCAGCAAGATGACGGTCCCGAATTCCCATGAGAGAAGGACAAGACCACTTCAACCAAAAGCGCAGTATACCGTGCATTAAATAAAAGGAAAACGATAAAAGGTTCTACAAATATAAAATTAGATGAAGCTGTATATACATGGTTTAACCAGGAGCGCTCTGTGGGATATGCCACTTGGGGGCGACGCCATTAAGACTGCAGCAGATAAATTTGCACAAAAGATGAACATTCCAGATTTTTGAGCAAATGAAGGATGGTTGCAAAGGTTTAAAAATAGGCCTAATATTAACAACAGGAAAGTTTGTGGAGAATCATCAAGTGCAGATATGGATTCTATCGAGCCATTTAAAAGTAAATTAAATGATTACATAAAAACAAATAATCTAAGGCGTTTTCAGGTAAACAATGCCGATGAAACAGGCTTTAATTGGAAACGATTGCAGAACGACACTTTGGCATCTAGTCTAGATGAGTGTTCCTGGCCGTAAGATAACCAAAGAAAAAGTTTCTGCCATGCTGTGTATGAATGCAGACGCAAGTCACAGAACGAAGTCCGCCATTGTAGGGAAGTCAAAAAACACACGGGCTTTGAAAAATTTAATGAACAAGCTACCTGTGGTCTATTACAATGCTAAAACAGCCTGGTTTACTGGAGACATTTTTTGTAGACTGGTTCAAAAATCATTTTTGCAAAGAAGTAAGATTTTCAAATAAACAAGTGGGGACCGAACGTGTGAGGCAGAATAATGTCAAGGCATTACTTTTGGTTGACAATGCCCCAGCTCATGTAGGGCTTGACATATTAACGCTATATGATGGACGCATCAAAAGTATAGCCTAGCCTCCAAATACCACCTCTCTGATCCAGCCAATGAATATGGGTGTTATATATATGCAATGAAAGGCTCTACAAATGAGCAATGAATAAAGAAATCATGATGGTATTTGAGTTAGATGACGACAAGAGACAAGGAACCAATTCGGAAGGTCAAGCAACAGTGGAATGTTACAAAAAACCAGCGTTGAATGTAATGAAATGTCATTTTCTGAGTGAGACCTGGAGACTCCCCAGAGCTATACCGGGCTGATGTGTATATATTAGACCGGAGCAGCAATCAATCAAAGGAGTTCTTAGCCTACCAGGGACCAGAGCCAGAACCTGGCCCCCTCAAGATAGGCAAAAGGAGCAATGGTCTGAAGACACCCCCGTGTAATTGGAAGCGGTCTTTGTCTGCCATCTACCAGGTCAGGCACCCCAGAAAGGTAGGAATTTCAAAACAAGTTACTGCTGGTCAAAAATTGCAAACCGAAAGCTGAACTAGCAAACAGAACTCCCCAATCAAAAACAGGGAAACAAACATGACGTCACTGTAACCACAGCGCATCCCTCTGTGCAACCCACCTCTTC